AAAAATCAAATTCACTTAAAATCCTCTGAGATAATTGCTGGTTTATGATAAAAAAATCACCTTGTATATCATTATAAGGTGTTTGAAATTTTAGGTAGCACATAATTATTATAACTATCATATATCATAACAAGTAATGAATTATTATAGTAATGTTGGTACTTGGAATTAATTTATGAGTCTAGGAAAGGTTACATATTTACCTACTTAATTACAATTATTTTAATGTTTATCATCACTCAGAAATGTCCAAAAGTTCAAAAGGATTCGTTTAGAGTCTGTATAGACAATATTATTATACTGATCTCAATCACCCAAATCAGAAGTCTATTCAGATTTTTAATACACCGTCCACGCATATATACGAAGTGATTCATTCAACTAGAAATTTTTATTCTCTTAGAAAGTATTAACTTTTTTTTTCAAACTTAAGAAACAATTACTTAGTTTGTTTCTAAATTGTTATACTATAATTGTTTTTTTTTTTTTTTTTGGTCACCATTATTTTTAAGGTGAAATGACTACTAAAACTACTTTTGATTTTCAAATGACAATCTATTTTGGAAATTCCTTAAACAGATGGACCATTAGTTATTTAAAACTATTTGTTCCTTAAGTTTTCAAAGAAAAAAATTCCGAAAAAGTTAATTTTGGGATAATGAGCGTTTCCAGTTGAGTGATTCACTCTGTATAGGTATACCTAATATACTATTAAATCCTTTTCTCTTTTAAAATTCCTTGGAGACTTTTAAGTCATGATCTATCCACTTCACTTAAGCACGTATTCAAGACCAATTTTCGGGGAGGGGGAGAGTTAGTTTAGGTTAGGTCTTGGCGTGAACCACTTTAAAGAAATTATTCCAATACATCAATAGTGGTCAACCTTTACAGAGGACCATAAAAAAAATATAATAATTCTTGGCCGGCCAAGAATTAAAATTTTTACTTTCAAGTTAATATAATATTATATTTTATCGTAGGTACATCTTAATATAGGTACAGTGATATATTAAATTATTAGATTCTAAATGGAGCAAAGAATTTTATGGTTTTACAAAGATGTTTTTTTTTTTCTGTGGTTAACTTTTCTACCAGCAATTTTGCTTCGATACCACTTTTTCTGAAAGGAAATTAGACTGAGAAGGTACTTTGAGGAGGTTATTTTTTGATTTTCCCGGCAAATGTGAAAAACCGGGAAAAAACATTGGAAACCCGGTAAAACCAGTACAACATTAAACAAATATTATTAAAGAAAATATATGACTATTTAATTATTTTACTATAATATGACATTTATATTGTTGACAAAACATCACTATCAATTTAACTCCGCTTATAGTCGTATTTTCGTTAGCAATGGTTGCTTACAGTTTTACATTAAATTATACTTATAACAGTGGCTGCACCCGCGGGGCAGGCTCACATAATTAACTAAACTAATTAATAGTATTTAATACTACGATGAGAGGTGAGCAGTATGACCCGCATCACCTAATGCACTATTTTAACCTGACCTGTGTGTGACCTTGAGCCGACGACAGGATCTTCGTCCGCGCTAGCCTTGATGTTTGAGGCTGTTAGCCAGCTGGCTGACGATTGGCCTTCACCTCGGCCTTCCTGACTCTCTCGTCCTGCTCCTTGCAACATAGGATATCGTATACGATGGAGTAGAAGACTTGAGCGACGTCAGCAGAAGTGGAAGTTAGACGAACGTTCCTGCGTTAACTTTGATCCCGGCGAGAGATGTCTGCTGGGCCACAAAGGAGATTCTGAACGTCATCGGGATAAACACTCCTTCCACCAGGGGCGTCTCGAAGCCTTGACAATGGGGGGGGGGAGAGGGAGGACGTAAATAATTTAATTTAATTTTTAATTTAATGATTGATAACCAAAAAAACGGACATACTTCCCACGATGGATGGATCACTGTTGTAGATGAGAAGTTGAGAAGATAGTAAATAGAAAGAAATTTAATATACATCCGTAAGCAAAAATTAATCATTACTAACGAAAAGAGATTCTGAGTGGAGCTCGGGTAATAGAATTGCTTTTTCAACAATATATATATAATTATAGTAAAATAAGTATTAAAATGACTTGTAACTAGATTTGTTCCACATAATTCTTTACTAAAACAATTAATGTCAAAATTTTATATTAAAACTCTTATAAAAATCATTACTATATTAAATTATATTTTTTTCGTTTTAACCGCAAAGTACGACTTATAATTAACTTCCTATTTCAAGCATTTCTGTATTGTCTAACAATTTTATCTACAAAGTACCTGTCAAATAAAAATTACTCATAAAATTAAAGTGTCTACAAATAGCTTAAATATAGCTCAAATGTTTTTACAGTTTTACTACGTAAAAATAGGCAAATATATCTTTACTGCCCAAATGTCTAGTCTCTACGAATATTTTTAACTGAATTACAATAAATAACACAATTGAAAATAAAAAATTATTTTCATACATTTCCAGAATCCCTATATCTCATCTACTCCTATATCCTATGCGTTTGCTAAAACTTAAAACTTTGGTTACTATTAATATATTGCGGATACAACATGTAAACTGTATACATTTCAAGTTTTACTCCAGTTTCCTGTATTATGACCGAGGAGTGAAGCTACTCTAGTCGAAGGCCTAGAAGAATGTATCCCGCTTCCGGCTAGAGACAATCAGGCCTCTAGTAAGCTCTATAAAACGGTAATCTTCAAATTGTTCGAAAATAATAAAATAAAAATAGTTATTTTTGAATTCTTTTACCAAAACATAAACATATAATTCAAGTATAAATACTGTTTGTTGTCCTCATCCCCACGAGTGATAAAATAAAAAAAAAACAACACAATTTGATTACCTTTATAATCTTCGTAGTTATTACAATGGGTACATCTTCGCGGGACACCTTGTATACGTTATAACGTCCAATATTATAATAGAAAACGGGTCAGTATATAGTGGATATCGGGATCGGGTTTCACCACTATTTATTAACACTGACAATTAAGTATTTAGGAAAATTGTACCTCATTCTACCTCTATTGGATTTTAAACTTGCTCCCCCCCATTTAAGACCTGGAATATATCAATCACTGAAATAGGACATTGTCTTTTAAGTTTAAAATCGATTTTTTTTTTTTTCCCATTATGTTCCATTATCTACCTATATGTATAGTATTACAATATTGTATAATTTTTAATATAGTTGATAATAATTATCGTTATTATTTGTGATGTTATGTAATTTGTTTGGTTTATTTGTTATTGTTAAAACATAGGTACCAACCTATTTGTTTAAAACAGTATGTGATATGTATTCAAACTTTTAAGTTTGTTTGCTATTATTATTATTATTACGATTTCAATACAAAGTGTGAAAAAACAATTGTATAGATGTCTATTGTTTCGTAATAGGTCTATCTATTATAGGTACTTCTATTGTGATTCGCGCGCACTACACCACGTGCGACAATAATAGGTAAGAACAAGTTTTAGATTCTAAGCGTGGCGAGATTTATCATGCGTACTTTTAGGATTCGCTGTGTGGTAGCTACTTTTCAACCAGAAATCTTGCTCCGACCATCGACCCTGCAGCATTTTTTCTAAAAGAAAATTTTGTTTAGTTAGCGAATTGAGGTGGTCATTTTTTGATTTTCTTAGTTGTTTTTCTAATATTTGCGAAAAACGGGATGAACGGAAAATTGTACGCGCAGGAACGGTTTCTGTTATTTTCAATTTTGTTTAATCGAGATCGGATCACCTCTACGAGGAATGAGTTTTTTTTTCTGTAAAACGTGTTTTTTTTATCAAAAAAAACAGGTCGCGCGCAGACTCATTAATATTTATGACTATTTTAGACGGGTAGTTTGTTGTACAATTTTTTTTTAATACATGATAATATTATACACTTACCTAGCACAAAAAACGAATATAATATATATTCGAATATACAAATATGCAACAGGTATTATGTACTTGGGTACCTAACTAAGCGATGTTATTCGAAGTAGACGAATCTACATATTATTCATCTAGGATTGAAATTATTTTTTATTAAAATAAAAAAAATTTAACAGAGGATACTATTAACCTATCTAATCTTACCTATTTATGTACACATCATGCACACAGAAAACTAATAAAATTGTCAACCGTTTTAAATTACAGATACAGAACTACGTCTAAACGATTTTAAAATAAGCCCAATAATTATTTACCAAAACAACAATTGTACAGATACGCATACGGCACGTATTGTTTTTTTAGGCGTCCATTTTATTGGCATAATATGCACGCGCAGGTACTTGTATACCCGTGGAATGCCACCAGTCAAGCGTTTAGCCTTAATAAATGGGCGTGTAAAGTTTACGTTCGACAGAAATCAACATATTTTCGGAATTCTACAGTAAAAGTCATAAATCATAAGTATAGATATCTATAGTTTATTTTGTACTATTTTTAGACGGCGACTACACAATATAGTACACAGAGACGATCCGTCAATGTGGAAAACGTTAACGGAACGTATCAATATGTAAAAATAAATGAAAGGTCGTTAAAATTATCGAATCTGGCAGCGCGGCTGCGATGCCGCACGCGTCGTATATATTCCTGTAAAAAATCCGATATTGTCCAATGTCCATATTGTATTTATACACTTTATTTACTGCCGAGTTAATTTAGTGACAAATAACGCATGTAAACCAGTCGTAGCAAGCTTACTTTTTTTTCTTCTTTTTAGACGACGCTGTCGTTTTGCGCAACACGACATGTAATATCGTTATTGTGTGAACGCAATTATTCAGAACTTTGCGTTGAACATAGCAAATAAAGAGAAATTTTCGAGCGAGAGTTCATCGAAATTACACAATTACACACATCTCGTTTAGGTATCCATTTATGGGTTACACAACTCATTTTACAAAAAAAAAAAAAAAACTGAATAATAACGTATTGCGTGTACAAGAAAAAACACAAACTATAAATGATTGAGCACCTTAGATGTATTAATACAATATTGTTGATTTATATATTATTGTAATATTTAAGTCTTACAAAATAATAATAGTAATAATAAATAATAATAATATACTGTAATGTGGTAGGTATATAAAACTATGTGGTGAAATATAATATTCATATTTTAATAAATAGATGCATTATCATTAATAACAATATTGTTTTCCAGGCATTTATACAATGTAAACAAAATACAATATTAAAATAACAGTGTAGGTTCTAGATTTTTATAATTCAATCTGTTATCTATACTTTTAATTTAGAACATATATTTGTATATTATAATTGTCATGGAATTTTCAGGCTTATTATGCACAATTAGGTTAATTCCACTAATTAAGGGTCTCACTAGATGACCTATATGATCAAATACCGTAGTAGCAAATTATCTTATTATTTAGATAGGTGGGCTATCGTTTTTCACGTAGATGATTTATAATACTTTCTAGAACAATCACCGTTTAATAATGGCTTTCAATAATAAATTATTGCATATACATAACAAACTGTACAATAATTTGTTAGGAATAATGAATATTATTACTACTTTTTATATCAAATTGAGTAGAGTCTAATTGCATAAGCCTGTTTGTTTAAGTAGACAGTAACATTTGAGTAAAATATAAATAATAATAAATATAAATATAAATGGGAACAATGTTATATCACCTAATCTAAAACACTAGATATAGTGATTGATATTCCAATTTCTGATGTTTGCGCGCATTGTTTTTTACCTATTTTAATTTTATTGAATTAATAAGATTTTCAAAGGATGGTAAACAGGAATTTACATTCTATTGTTTAAAATAATTTTATTTTTTAAACTATTAATATTTTTAGTGCTGCTCTAATGTATTGAACAATTTTTGTTTTCAAGAATACTTAAATAAACCCTAAGAACATTACCCACATATACAATCTAGTAACCCTTAATCAATGTTTAAAATAACAGGGATACATTTTTAACACTTAATATATTGTTGAGTTATTAAAATTTACTAATAATTATTAAAAAAATAATGAAATAAATTAAAATACATAATATAATGACAATAACAAATAATAATTAAAATAAATGAATCTAGATAAAGTTTATGTGTGTAAGATAATCAATGTTAAAATAATTAAGTCAATAACATTTGGTCACTATAATATTATATAAAATATTAATATTTTAATTTATTTAGTTTTATTTATATATTATGTACAATATTTCATACATTTTACAAAAACCCATCACAGCCGAATATAGCATTTTTTTTCTTTATACAACCATTGTTTACATTTTTACCAGCTATTATACTAAGTTAGGTACTATTTTTTTATTATAACATAATGAAAGAAATTAATAGCATTGTCATGAAATTAGTATAACCAGATGATTTGACATACAATTTTAAACATTATATTTTCATATATATATTTTTTATATAGACCTGGTCATACATGATAAAAATGAAACAAAAATAATGATTGTAAGTGGCCATACTAGTATTGTAGCCAAAAACGGGGAATATGTGCCCCAACATTTTTGTAATCGGTAATTTTAATGTATTTTATCATTCTATAAAAATATAAGATAATAATTTAAATTATTAGTGTCTAGCTCCCAAATTTTTTTTCTGGCTACAAAAATTATTCATTCTTTGATAATCCATAAAAAAATGTAATAAAAATAAATTTTCTATGCAATTAAAATTAATTAAATATACAAAACAAAAATATTTAAGGCTTATGAATGTATTGAAGTATTTTTCACACCATTTACTATTCCATAAAATGTAATGGAATAAAATATATTTATGCTGTACACCGAAGTATAGTAAGTAAAAGACAGTGATAATACTTATTATAACATAAAAAAAACCCCAATATTTACAATTATAATAAGTAAATAATATTTACTGTGGACCTAATGATACTTGAAATCAAAGGATTTGAATAGAAATACGAAGAATGAAAATAATTACAATATGAATTGGTACTTTCTAAAAATGAATAATATAACAATATTTATAAAACAAATTATTTTAAATTTCAACTTGAAAAATAAATATTTATATACACATTTGACATAATAATAGTGAATTCAAGAAAAAAAAAAAAATGGCACTAAAAATTTGTAGCTCTATCAGTGTTAATACTGAACTACAAGGTACAACAAATTAAATAATAGTAAATTGCAATACATAATTATCATTTTCAATTTTAGTTGTACCCACAGCAAAAAATACTAGTTTAATTTAAACAATTATAATAAATTATTATAACACATATATAATACATGGCAATGATATTCATTTTTTTATCATTATCCCAATAATAACAATAAAATTATTTACATTGTTTAAAAAATTTAGATTTTCTTGATGTAAAAGCTCTGCAGTTCAGCCAAAAATATAATTTTATGAAATTGGTAAAATGTAATGGCAATAGATTACAGATACAGTTGGTATCTGCAAGTGTATGTAATACAAATAGAATTCATATTATATACAGTCCCCAAAAATATGTTAAACACTTTGTATAATTTATAGGTTATAGAATATTACTTATTTATTGAAACTGGCAAATACAGCCCAAATTACATCATTTGTAGATCCTTTCATTGATTCAATTTCTAAATCCATATCCGATAGTTCTCGTAATCTGCGAGTGGCTAATTCATAATCTTCATCATTAAGTGGAGAAAATGCACTTTCCAGTACATCAGACGCATGGGCCAATATTAATAGAGCTAGAAGTCGTTTATCCATTCTATGTGGATCATTGATCCATCGAGACAAAACAGCATCTTGCACCTAATATTTTTAAATAGTAGTGGATATGTGTAAAAGTTTTACATAAATTATAGAGAAAAGGTAAAAGTACAATAATTTATTAGTAAATTAATTACCTTTTTAACTAGCCTAAGTTTAGCTTCGTTATCTGTTAATGGATGTGTCGTCATGTCAAACAATAGGAAATTTTGTTTTTCAGTGGTAAGAACACCCTTTTCTACTAAATTTTTGGCTAACCGTTCTCGTACATTTTTTAATTGATACTTGATTTTTAGAGGATTCCATGTTTCACCTATAAGAAAAAATTAAGTCAACTACTACGTTATTGTTCTAGTTATTAATTTATAAGAACTAATTAAATATTAATCATACCACTTAAATATTCAATCCAACTTTGTATTGTTTCAGGAGGATTGGTTTCTTTGATATGTTTAAGTGCTTCGTCTAAAAGAACATCACCTGTAGGCGTCTCATTTTTTATAATTACTTTTCTCATTTGTAAGCTTTTTCTTCGCATTCCTGCTTTTTCTAATTCAATTCTTTGTCGAAGAGCAAGTTCAATAAGTATACACCCTCGTAAACCAGAAGAAATTGAATCATTCCAAAATGAGGTGTAACCCTGAAATATAATAATAGGTAAATAGGAATGACATTTTTTAGATATGATTTTAATTAATTAAATTAAAAATAAAGTAGTGAGGTATATACCTACAATTAAGGAATATAATAACTTATTTAAAAAAAATTGAATTATATTACTAATTGAAAACCATTAGATTCAAAATATAATAATAATAATACTCATCATACTTAGGTAGTCAAAAACCATACAGGTGATAATATTTGTGTTATTGCATCACACACTATACACATATTATCTATTTATTGATTGAAAGTATGTATATAATAAATATATAATAAAAATAACTTCAAAATAAATAATTTGCATAACACATTTGTATTATAAAAAGGGATATGGAATTGATAAATATTTTAGTGTGTGGAAATTGGAAATAGAAACTATAAAAAAATGTAATGTCTAAAAACAGATAACGATGTTTATACAACTATGAGCAATTATTTACATACTATTAACCAGAAAATAATTTTTTTTTATATACTGGGTGATCATTTCATAGCTAGACATTCATTATTTCGGAAAGCATTATTTAGTTTTATCGCAATTATTTTTTTGGACAATTTAAAAAAACAAACAACTCTAAAATATGACATAACTGTTATTTTTAAGGGTGAAATCACTATCTACTTTTGGTTTCAGTTCTAAAAATAATGGACACATTTTAGAGCTACTGTTTCTCAAATTGTCCAAACAAATTTCTATAAAAGTTAATACATTATGACATAATTAGCATCTTAATAAGGATTGATCACTCGGTTTAGATAAACAATGATATTTTTTTGTGAATTTATACAAGGATCTCAATGAAAATAAAGTAGCACAAAAATAAAATCTTTAATACATTTTTACTTTATGAATAGTAAAAATCTAATCAATAATATAATATTTTAAATTAATAGTGGAACAGTGAATGTTATGTCTACTACTTGTGCAACTATTAGAACTAATTTCTTTTGAGGTATGTACGTAAAACAACAAGTCAATAGAAAACCTCTTAGTAAATATGTATTATTTTAATTTTAATGTTTTGGTTTACAAATCAAAGTAGTAAAGAGTTCAAACATATATTGTTATAAATCAAACCAAGGTAAATAATTGGGTATCTATTACTTTAAAATATATTTTTATTTATTTAGATATATTTTGAATATTGCATTAAAATTTAATAGATAAGTTTGGATTAAGAGATGATAGAATAATTATTTAATATTATAAAACTTCTATTATTTAAAAACAAAATACAATAAAGGTAAATATATACATTATACACATATACAGAGAGTAAATCATTAATCAATAGTTAATACACCAGACTTCAGAATACCACAATTAACAAACATATGTACACAGATTTCTATTAGTGATTTACTCTCTGACGTAATATACAGGTAAATAATATATTATATGCTATCACTCACTTTCATATACACAGTACGTATTATATGGGTATTACACTACTGAAGTAAGAAAAAATTGATAGTTTTATAATTATGTTTTTTTTTTCGTACAGAACATTTTTTTAGAGCTGTTAACTTATTAAAATTATTAAAAAGTGATTTATTGACCAATATTTTAAAATTTAATATCTTATTGATCTAATATTGTTTTGTTCATTGTGTGGACACGTGATGGTCAATTTGTCTACCATAAGTAGTAATACCCGATTATTATGAAACAGCTTTCATAGTTAAGTAGGTAGTTTAATAATAAATTATTTATACAAATCTTTAAAATTATACTCATCTCATATTAATTTTATAGTTGGATTTAGATACCTTGAAATCCTACCTGAATTTAATTTACTAATACCATTGTAGGTTCATACTAAGCGCATAATGAAAGTCATACTAGGAATAATAACCATAGAAAGTGACATAGATTAATAAATACTTACAAATATAAATTTTGGTAGATATATCCAGATATGTATGCATGCAATATATTTTCAAGAACCTACCTACGTATTTTGTTAAAATTATTCAAACTAATGATACCTAATAGCCGTTGTGGTATGTACCTTTTTTAACAATATTATTAAGTACTGACATATTCCCTACCTCTATTTAATTATAATAAACAAAAATTAAATAATGAAACGGTATATTAGATATTTAAGGTACCTCAGATATTTCTGAGATTTTCTAACAATAATTTCGGTTTATTTTTTTAATTAGGTTAAATGTTTACATAGTTATGTACATACTATGTATTTTAAATACCAATGATAAAAAAAAAAAAAATGTAATTGTTGATCATGATAGTTATAAAACTGAGGATATCATGAATTTACTCGTAACTATGCCTATTGGTGTTTTATACCTGTATTGTATTATACAGGGTACATACTTCTTTATCTTTGAGACCAAGCAATAGTACTTCTTCCATCAATGTAAGTCGTGTCTCTTTTGAGTCACCGTCATCAATATCCTCTTCGTAATCTAGTTTATCAGCAGACTGACCGTTCTCTCCTCTGGCTAGACCGTCCGAAGTTTCTCTATTAACATTACGTCTTTGAACTAAACCGTCAGCACGGGTCATCATCTTGGAAATTAACAGTCTCGGTCACTTATGTTCGTAAAGTAAAAAAAAACTAAACAAATCAAAAAAAAAATCCAAACTTTCTAAAAACCAAGTTTCCGTACGGTCGTTGACGATCACGGATCGTCTCATTCAACAAGAATTATTCTGAAAGTGCACGCAATTATTGATAAGGCATTAAGGCCTAGATATATTTTGTTGACGTCTACAATATTATACGATAGGCATCATACTATATTATATACATTAAAATAATATCACATAGTATTCACCGCCCTTCTACAACAGCGAACCGCCTTCGAATGGCCCCTGATAACGACGAAGCCGGAAACTCAAGAGCGATTCGGACCGTAAAAATTGTCCCTATATGAATATTTTGAAATGGTCGACAGGGAATGGAACACACTGACGCATATATTCTAAGCGTAAGACTTAAAAGGTTGGATAACAAAAACGAGAAAACTAAAATAATAATAAAAAACGAAATTTTATCGCACAGACTTCAGGACGACTTGACATCTGAAAAATCTATAGATAACATGGTTTCCTATTCGCAAATCGCAAGCTTATTGTATAGATGCCGCTCTGATACGATGGTGATCTAAACAGTGTGACCATACGTACTATTAATTCGTTCCGTGATTACACAATTTTTTTTCGAAATTATTGAAAAAAAAAAAAAAAAACCTAACGAACAATAAATAATAATGAAATAGACAAATATTTTAATTAGTGATAATATTCCATGATATTATAATTTTTTTTTATGTTTCTGTAATCTGTGTTATTTGTATATTTAATCGTGATCAGCAGATCCTAATTCTCTTGCCTGGTGCTTTGTGCCTAATTCTTGACTGACATTTCAAAAAGACATTAATATAAACATGTAACATCCCTTATGTATAGGTGTAATATTATTATTGAATAAGGTGAGCTGAATAGTAAATATTTACTCTTGTTATTAATCTATTTTTTTTTTATTTATTCAAGTTTTCATTTTGTGTTTTCATTTTCAGTTGATTGGGCAAATAGAAAATTTAAGGATCATCATATCATGATTTGAATAGTTATTAGTAGAATTTATTACCAGACATTTAAACATGGTATGCAAAAATCCAGTTTTTAATTTTGATTTTTGGAATAATCCCAACAATGTATCTGTTGTGGAAGTAACTTGTTTAATGCCCAACAGTATTTCAATACCTTTAACGGTTTCTACTGGTACATCATTGCACGAGTTAAAGGAGGTGTGTTAGTGTGATAATTATTATTTATTTTTGTGAAACATCAGGTTTTACATTGTAAGTTATACAATGTAATTTTGTAGGAATTATGGGAGGAAGCAGTCAAATATCCTTTGCACGGTATGTTGCACGACTCGAGCAGTTACAGTATATCCTATGTCAATGCTATGGCCCAACGTGAATTGCTCGTTGACGAGAACAAGAGACTTTGTGACGTACGACCATTTTTAGCTGTCCTCAATATTGTTGAACGTCAGGAGGACAAAGCGGACAATGTACTTAATGCCCAAATTAGTAATCTTATTGGGAAGGGTATGTATTGATTGTTATTTACCTGTACGGTTAAAATAATAAACAAATTAATAAATATTATTGTGCTATTTTTTTATTTAGGTCTTATGGAATTTGATTCTTTAAAAAATTCAGAAGTGAATCAGTTTCGTGGAAAAATGAAAGCGTTAACCGATCAAGTTCAAGCTGATAGACAACGACAAAGTTGGTCGGAAAAACTCATGTATCAGTTTGGACCACAATTAGCTGCTTCCACATTGTCATCAAATGTATTACCCACAACAGTTACTAGAAGATTAAGAGATGATAATTTTTCTGTTGTTATTAAATTTGACAACACAGAGGTAACTTTTATTTAAAATATTAATGTTACAGTGAAATACCTAAATCTAAATTGTTAATTTATTTTTTAGACCACGTTTACATTTAATGTAGCTCTCACAACAACACCTGATCAATTAATGATGCAAATATTAAACAAACGTGCAATGACATTAAAAACTAGAAATGAAAAGTGTTCTGATTTCACTTTAAAAGTCTGTGGCCGAGAAGAATATATTGTTGGTCAACATTGTTTGATCGATTTTGCCTACATACAAGATAGTCTATCTCAAGATCTCAACCCTATTTTGATCGCTGTTTCCAAGTTTAATGTTCCAGGTAGTTTGAAACTTTTACTAATTATTATTATTATAATTTCTATAATTGATATATTTTAGTTCCAGAAGAAGTTTACATGGATCAAACTGATTGCATAGAACAAAATAAAATGCGTACAACATTAACATTACGTAAAAAGACCAAACATAAATTGTCCTTTGACATAGATGAACAATTTAAGTTCAAAGTTAATTATATAAGTAAATTAAACTGTGATTTGAATAGAACTGTTGAAGTTGGAATAGAAGCAGCTTTATTCCATGGGGGTAAAGCATTGTGTGAGTGTGTTAGGACGTCTGAAAAGATTGTTGAAAATGGAGGGTGTACGTGGAATGAAGAACTAGAATTTGACATGAGTGTAGCTGATATTCCCCGGATGGCTCGTTTATGTTTAGTTGTTTATGAAGTTTCCAAAACATCCAAAGGACTGAGAACTAGACGTATCAAAGAATCAAAACAAGTAAACGAAAAATAAAATAATTGAACCCCTAATTAAATACTAATTATCTTTACTTTTTATAGGAAATGTTTGTAACTCCGATGGACTGGGTTAATACAACCGTCTATGACTTTAAAAATCAATTAAAAAGTGGATCGATTACTTTATTCATGTGGACGTATGCTGACGATATGCAAAATGAAGACTTATTACATCCACTTGGTACTGTTGTATCTAACCCTAATATAGAACAAACAACAGCGCTTACAATAACTTTTCATAGGTTTGAGTTATTTTGGAATAAAATGTATTCTCAAATGTTTATGTGATTTAAATTTGTTTAGTTACCAACCACCAGAACATGTAATTGTATATCCAAGTTTAGAAAAGTTACAAGAGTGTGCTAAGCATAAAGGAAAAGAAGACTTGAATGATCAAGCTACTGAAGATTCACAGTCACTAAAAGCTTATTTAGATCAAATAAAGTATGTTCAGTCTATCTATACTGAAGGTGTGTTAATTTTAGAATTGTTTATTTTTTATAGAACTATGGCTGAACGAGGAGAACCTCTAGATGAAATGCACGAACAGGATCGAAAGAAACTTTGGCGCCATAGATATCATATATTGCAAACGGTGCCTGGACTTTTAGCCAAGCTCTTAGACTGTGTTGAATGGGGTATACGGTGGGAAGTAGCGGAAGCCACCTCATTGGTTTCTAAATGGCCACTATTGGGTCCAGAGCAAGCTTTGGAATTACTAGATTATGCTTATGCGGATCAAGTCGTTCGGAGTTTTGCCGTTAAATGTTTACAAATACTGAGGTAATTAATATTCATAGGCGGAGCTGATTTGGTGCAAGGTATGTAGTTATATTCATTAAGCGCAAAAACAAACAAAACTTCTTTGCTTGATAGGTATTAAAATAATATAGATTAATTTGGTTCATTTGAAGTTATGTTTTCTTTTTAGTAATTTATTTAAATCAATAATATAAAATACTCTAATATAATAAAACAATTTATTTTTAATATTTTAATAGACATTTTCTCATAAGTACTCTTAAATATAAAACAGGCTTTACCTAAGTAAATATTTAATAGCCAACTAGTAACAACTATATTTTGTAATTTGTGTTAACATAGTGATGAAGATCTTTCATTGTTTCTATTACAACTGGTCCAGGCTCTGAAACATGAATCTTATTTATGTTGTGACCTAGTTGAATTTTTGCTCACTAGAGCATTGCAAAATCAAAAAATTGGACATTATCTATTTTGGCATCTCAGGTATGTAAAACATGTTAGACATTATTTTTGTTATTGGGTTTTTAAGTTAGCACCCAAATATTTATGTAATTTATGCAATTTAGTTATATAATTTGTAATTTATAATTTAAAAGTCCATTTTTTTTTTTTGTGACATTTCTATTTATCTAAAATTTGAGTCTGTCGCTATGCTCTTAAAATCTAAAATATTTATTGGTTTATTATGATTATGAAAGAAAAAATAAACAACTTAAAAATGTGAAGTCCCATTAAAATAAATAATAAAAACATTTGGTTCAATAGGTTTTTAAAAATTTTTGAAAACATGATAATGAAGCACTGATAACAGAATAGTGCTATTTATTTGTATTGGTGAATTATTTAGAAGTTATTATTACGTTTATTAGATCAGAAATGCAAGTGGCATCTGTATCTGTACGTTTTGGTTTAATGTTGGAAGCTTATTGCCGGGGTTCCATTGAACACATGAAGACATTGATTAGACAAATGGATTTCTTGGAGAAATTAAAAAAGACAACTGAACTAGTTAGACAACGACGTGATAAAGAAAAAGCTCGATTTTTTTTACAAGAATATTTTCAAGAAGCACACTGTATTGAAGCCATGTCGTCTGTGCACAGTCCTTTAGATCCTAGTTATAAGTGCAAAAGAATTAGGTATAATTAAATGTTTATTAATAATGGTTTAAATAATGCAATATACAAAAATAAAATATTTTTTTAATATAATTTACTAGAACTGAAAAGTGCCGTGTAATGGATAGTAAAATGAAACCATTATGGATCGTTTTCGAGAATGTTGATTCACATGGAGATGACATTTATGTTATATTCAAAAATGGTGATGATTTGAGGCAGGATATGCTTGCTTTACAAATGATACGTATTATGGACAAATTGTGGAAAAACGAAGGATTAGATTTGAGGTAAGTTGATAAAGAAAACATATCAAAAAAAGGATATCACTAAGAAATTAAACTACTTAATTAATTTCCAGAATGAACCCGTACCGATGCATTTCGACAGATAACCGTGTGGGTATGATAGAAGTAGTGTTAAATGCTGAAACTATTGCTAATATTCAAAAAGAAAAAGGAATGTTTTCTGCTACGTCTGCTTTTAAAAAAGGATCATTATTAGGTTTGATTGGAATTCCATAGAAAAATATTTTTTGTTAAAATTACAGTTAATATAATTAGTTAATATCTTACATTTTCAGCATGGTTAAAGGACTATAATCAAACAGAACAATCTTTGCAAAAAGCTATTGAAGAATTTACATTTTCGTGTGCAGGTTATTGTGTGGCTACATATGTTTTAGGAGTTGCTGATCGTCATTCCGACAATATTATGGTTAAAAAAACTGGTCAAGTGTGTAAAATTTTATTATTTACTACAATGATTTCTTTTTTTAATGTACTGCATTAAACATTTTTTTAAATTTTATTAAATTTTAGCTATTTCATATTGATTTTGGTCACATTCTTGGGCATTTTAAAGAGAAATTTGGTTTCCGTCGCGAACGCGTGCCATTTGTATTAACTCACGACTTTGTGCATGTCATCAATAAAGGCCAAACTCGAAAAGAAGCTCCTGAATTCCAAATGTTTCAAAATCATTGTGAAAAGGTAATAATCATTATTCAACATATTACAAATAATTTTGTCAACATTATACATCTAATTTCAGGCCTTTCTCATATTAAGACGGCATGGTTCATTGATACTGTCTCTTTTTGCAATGATGATATCCACTGGTCTTCCTGAATTGGGTTCTGAAAAAGATCTCAACTATTTACGCGAGACACTTGTATTAGACCTATCAGAGAATGATGCTAAATTACATTTTAGATCCAAATTTGAAGAAGCATTAGGAAATTCGTGGAAAACATCACTCAACTGGGCGTCTCATAATTTAGCAAAAAATAATAAACAATGACAAAAGTTTCTAATTGGCTTGGAGCTGGCCATACTGCCTTAATTTCAGTTCAAGCTTACTATATACAATGTTTTCCTAAAGAATAGTAGACAAATTGTATTAAATTTTAAGCAAAAATGTTTATTTTGTAAATGGGAGAGAAAGACGTAAGTAATTGATAATAATTGTGGTTACCTCAGTATGATTTTTTTTCTAATTACAAAAATGATATTTTAAATTATTTTAAATTATATTTAAAAATATTGCAATATTAACCGTGTCTAAAGCACAGCTGTTATAATATTATAAATAATTTACAATTATAATTATATTATAGAATGATCATGCCATTATATAGGCTCATATTATTTATTTAAGTAACTGCTATTCTTGTAATTAATTATTGTAATTATGTTTATTATTATTAAATTATGAAAAAAAAATTATATTTATTCATTTTGTTTGCCTTCCAAATTTGAATTTTTCAACATAAAGTTTTATTTTCTATTCACAATCAAAATCAAGGGGTCTGATCTCTATTGTTAATGCTTTGTACTATCTGAAATGATGTTAATGATAATAGCACTATAGATACAGTAAATATATTATTATTATTTTTTTTTTTTTTTTCATAAAGTCATTGTTTATGTCGTGATGTTAAAAATTTGAGCTTAAAATATTTTAATACGATACACTCTGTACACTACGAAAAATAAAAATACACTATAATATTATGCTATACATCAAACTTTTCCTTGACTGAATATATATTAGATTAAATTAATAAATAAATATTCATATTTGTATTTTTAAGCCAGTGGGTGGGATATAATCTAACACCTCCCCTGCATAATCAATAATGTCTGTTAATTCAATGACTGTTTTAAACATAGTTTTTTATAAATACAATTCATAAATTATAGAAAGTTCTTATATACACGAGTGTAGAGTGTAGTAATATTACATAGGACGTACAGATCAATCTTTCTATACTACTGCACATGGAAGAAGCCCTCAACGAAAACAACCTTGCCAAAATTATGTCGCGACCCACTGGTGAGTCCAGATTCGATTTTTAGTGGTATTTTAAGGTGGTAATTTTAAGATTTTTTCTGCTGTTTGCATAAACTACTTTTTAAAATGCAAAACCATATGGGTCGCGATAGATTTTCAATGGAAAATTTGGGTCGCAGTCCTGAAAAGATTGAGAACCACTGCCCTAGTTAGAAAGTTGTAACATAAATAATACCTACTCATGCTCATATAGCCCGTAATGTTGAAGCCTTTATTTAATAGCTAACGAAAAAACAATTCTGAACGCATTTCGGTTGATAGTGTTGCTTTGTCAACAATATATATTTCATATTATGGTAAATTCAATCTATGTAATAAATAAAATAACGTTCTGACTGATTCATCGTCGCCTAACCCAAACCCTGCATGGTTGTTTAGTAGACATTAGCTCATTTCAGTTTTATTGGGGTTTGGGCCCAATAATCACAATCTATTTCTTATAGAATTTGTTTAGTTTTTCTAAATCATTAGTGAGTAAGTTCTTATTCGTGGGATTTGGTTTGAGTTGCGAGATGATCATATTGTCTGCATAGTTAAATTTGTTAGATATTGTGTCTTATAAATCATTTATGCACAAGTTCAAAAGTAATGGGGTTAAGACTTGAATTTTTGACAGAAAACTTATGGGTAAATGATTTTCTAGAAGTAGTAACATTTTCAAAACATATTAAGCCATTTTTGAGTAAATATTAGACATTTTAATTTTGCGAGTTTTTTTACATAATTTTTATTTGATAGGTACCTACTCTGTGGATAAAATTGTTAGACTAAACAGAAATGCTTGACAATTAGGAGTTTGGAGGTTGTAATGAGTGCAATGTTTTTTTTTTTTTTTCACAAGTTAAAATCAAATTTCGACAAAAATCGTAAATATTACAGCCTTTCCAAATATGATATGTAAGTGTATAACCGAACTTTTTTTTTGTGTTTGTCCATAAAAATTTGACTTATTTTTCCAAATTGATAATATTATGAATTAGGTATTAATAATAGGTATGTGTTGTATACAATATGTTTATAACTTGCGCCATAATAATACAAATTTGTTTTATCACATTAATTCCTTTTAAATCGGTGAACTATTTTCGGAGTTTGGCTGTTATAAAAGAATGAACACAGTTTATTTTTAGAACAGTGAGTTTTTGCATAGATTAAAATATTTAATATTATACCGGTATGGGTATCCATTTAACCCTGTGGTTTTAGATCATAAAACCACGGTGACGGACCTTAAGCAGTTACACCACGAAGTAATATGTATAGTATTGCGCATACCGAGCATATCGTAATTCGTGCCTTGTACCAATAGGCTTTTGTATACGTAGAACGGCCATCGACAGAGGGCGCTCTTCATGTGTGTCTTATAATTACGTGGTATTATTGTATTGTACGTCACGAATGTAATGTGTCTGAACGGTTACGCACCACAGTAACTCTGTAGGCCAGCCAATTAGTACGACGTCTGAACAAATTGTTGATACACATTACCGTTATTTAGTATTAAATCGATAACGGTTGAGTGGGTATTTTTTTTTTTTTTTTTGAACAAGATCGCTCCTTCAATTTTTTTGGAATAGGTAAGGTTGGGTTAGGTTAGGTAACTCAAATTACATAACGCCATGACACCTGTTTCTCATTAGAACAGTCCCCTTAACTCACGTATAATGCACAGTATAATACCGATCTGTTAATAATCGGGGGACGGGTACAGTGAGTTATGCCATTGAGTATTACTCGAAGAATTATTCCAAGATTGATTCATAGAGCGAGACGTTTTATTCATTCGGTGATGAACGACAAATCGACTTGGTTCCCCCCCCCCCATTCTTCAATGGTCGCCTCACCTACAATTTTATTGTTATAGGAGTAACCGAATATTCGGCCGCTATATCAGCTGTTTAGTACTCTTATCATATTGTTGATAACTTGATAAGATAACCGATGTGTTCCAGGGATATGTTTTATTTATTTTTCGAATACTGTCACTGTAATGCCAAAATGTTAATATTTTGAATAAACGATTGATCTTTTTTTTACTTGGTTGTTCTTAAGCTTCTCACAACAGAAATAAACGTATGTTTGTTACCACGTGATACAAACATGGGAGAAGTCCAATGGCCATGGCAATACAGTTTTCCACCATTCTTCACGTTAGTGCAGCCGTCTACATTTAAACCGATTTTCAACAGACAATTACCATTTTAGTAATGACATTTATGTTTAGGATACAACCGAACCTCGAGACGAGAAAAAAGCAATTAGACGCATGGAGGTCTTTGGTATTGGATTATTGTCGGTTACATAAAATATTCATTATTGATGTACGCGAAGGAGAACATTTACCGTTGTTCAACAACACGGCCATATCCAGTAAGTGTTTAAATGTCCCATAAAAATGCCAATAACAAATTAATAAGTATTATGTAAAACTGATGTCATACTTGCGTTCGTTGTATTTGTCTAGTTAGCACTGAAGCCCATGGCCCTAGGGGTGCTAAAACAATATTATAATTACGCACGTTTGCTATTGTATATTTAGTATCTCCAGTGTATTCGGTAAATCATTTTATATGACGATTATTTTAGACATCAGCTGTTCATTTGTATGTTCATAATTTCTTTAAAAATGTAAACTAGGCACTGAATATTGTCGGTACCTAATAAATGTACTAAACTCAAAATGTATTATTATTTATTATTAATTAGTAGGGAAAATAAAATAAATGAATGACTCATTTAGTTATATTTAGTGTTTATTCTGGCGTTAGTCATCAAAAACAAATAGTCAATATAGTATATTTTAATAAATAATTAGCTTGATAGTGGAAATAAAACATTACACTTTACATTTTTCAACCGGTTCGTTTCAATTTCATTTAATATTATTCAGGTATTGTTAAGTAGCCATTGAATAATAAAATCCTATGCATTTGACCTATTACATGGTATGTGATTAATTTTTTTAACTGAACTCGCATAAGTTATACATTTTTATGTTATAGGTACTTGCCTATGTTTTATTAATTATTTTTCTGCGATTTGTGCTATAATTTTTTTATTGACATTTATTGATCATTATCATTAGTATAGAATTATAGGATGAAAAATACTTTGAATACATGTGTATATGTAGAGTTATTATATTTTCTAAATTAGAAAAATGAATAGCAATAAAACTATAGACTAGGAAAACCAAACCAGTGGCTTGATGAGTGATGATATTTGATTTCCTCGTAAAACAAATGATTATCTAGTATTCATTCCCTAAAAAAAAAAAAAATCAGTTCACTGATTTTAGAGAGCTAACTCTATTATCTGATTGCATTTTGAATAAACCTTAGTTATAATGTTATCATGTGCAAAAATACACTGGGCCATTACTTAGTGTTATTACCTAATGCATAGTAATAAATAGGGTTCCGGACTTATTGCGCTTAAAATTCACAAAAAAACCTAGAAAAAAAAAAAAACACTTGAAGCAAATATTACTAGACCGAATGGTAGAAGGGTTTAAATATCCCCTGTCCAGCGACTTTAAATTACGAAATATAATTTCGTAACACGGCACAAATTATTATTAAAAATGTATTTTCTTTAAATAAAATTGTACGCATTATGAAAAAAATAACTTTGGGTTAATTATTTGCGTAGCGTTAGCGAACTGTATTTAATAAGTTAAAACCGTCAGAGGGAGGAGGTCGTTTAAACCCTTCTACCGTTTGGTCTGGTAATATTTGCTTGAAGGGTTTATTTTTCCGAGGCTTTTTTGACGTTTCTAAGTGCTTTTTGGTGAAAAGAACAACAGAAAATCTCAAGAAACATATTTGGTCCGGTATAAAATAGTGATGTAACAGGCAGGTAGGCAGGCGTACGACGAGTGAATGACACAACGGTGAGTTGTTTTCCTATTATGAAAAATCCATTTTCCTCATTTATGTGAGAAGTAAACGGTTTGAATGGTCGGAACATGCGTGGAGACCGGATGGAAATTTGGTATCGTATCAACAGTATCATTACAGTCGTTTTTTCCATCGTTGCCGAGGTAACCCGGAAGTCAACAAAAATCGAGATACTACTAAATGAAATTTGTGCGGTCAACTGTTGTAAATCCCGATAAATGTTTTCAAATCGGGCCCCGCGGAAATTCGCTAATTTGTTTACAGGGATTAGGAGAATTCGCAATTGTCTGACAACGTTTTTAATCTCGAATTTGTCTGAAGTGGGAGAGAGGTGTTCACGTAGACACTGTGTATACCTATTTTATTTATTTTTTATTTGTGTTTTTATGTTTTTCGAGTATTAACCACTTGAACAATATTGTTGTTGTTGTTGTTGTTGGTTTATTATTATTATATTTTTTTAACTACAATTCATCACAATTAAAAAATAATAATCGGCCGTGTTTCGGAAAATCGCCCGGATCATTAATTGTCGATTCGGCC